GCTCATGATCATTTTGTTGGAAATGGAGACACGGAGTGTTGTGGACGTATGGGCCCTCCATTTCGTCTAGGTTCCCGACACGATCTCGTGTGTATTTAAGAGGTTGGAACAGGTAATATGGTAGCGCTTCAGGCTACCTATTGGACATGTGAGCGGCTGTATGGCGTGGGCGCAAGGAGGTTATTGGGGGTTTTCTATGCCTAGATGGCGCCACACTCGTTTATGCTATGGCTTAGCCTACGTGTCGCTTACACTTGTACTTGTAGCGCACACTTCCCACACTTTTAGCCGTAATCCGAACATGACACTCTTTTAGTCAACTTCTACTTTCGTTCCATGAATATTGCGCCCATTACATTGCGCGATATTTCCAACAAGAAGTCAGTAACGAATTCATCAAATTCTGAAGAGGGATCGATACTCATGGAGAAATACCGTCAACTCATCTCTACCTCTCAGCGGAGATTGAGCAACTTTATCAATAGGGAGATGTGACAGACGAGAGAATGTGAGAGAAATATATTTTCTGAGTCATACTTGAGAGAATCTTCTGTCTTTCAGGGTTTTTTTGATTTTCGTGATTTTTCGTTTCTATTTAATCAACAGCACCTTTAGCAGCGATTCACGAGGTCGCAACGAGTTGGGCTGTAGGAAAAAATACAGAAAAACCTGTCGGCTTCACCGGTCCTGCACCCATAGTGGACATAGAGCTATAGCTCAGGACCAATTGATGTTAAAGGAAATTTAAAATAAAGAATGATCGGTACTATACACACATTTGGATGTCTCTTTTGACGCCAGAGACACTTACACCCTAGATTCCATACCCAAATACTTCTATGAGGCATGTTTTATCACACAAACAGTCGATCCTCCTTCATGAATACCCACCAAAGACACCTTTCAACCCATTTGCCTGTGTGACGATTAGTAAACCGAATAATGCCCGTATTTTACGCTGGATAGCGCAGACAATCCTCGACTCCTGATAATGGTTTACAGGAATATTCTCGTAGATTCTTAGATATGCTTACCGGGCATGTCCTTCTTCTCGAACATTCGAGACTAGACCAGAGATGATCGAAAATCGTGTAGGAAGCGTGGGAAACTTCTAGCAATGGAGAAGGAATCTTCCAGGGACGAGACGAGAAGTTACTAGACATATCTAGGTCTGTAAGCCATGATTACTCCTGCAGATGAAGGCCAAAGATATTATGAAAAGAAATGTGTAAACACCTGTCTGGCTCGCTTGATAATACACCATTAGTCGAAATATAAGCTACCATCTTCTGTACCAATGCTCATTGCTTTTTACATCTGATCTGTGACAGACTATCCAAGCCTGTTTTTTTCATCCATGGACACTTGCAACGCGATAAATGTGGCTGTGTTTTGCCGGATTTGAACCAGCGACTTCCTACCTTGGGTGGGATACGTGTCTGAGTTATCCAGACTCTACTTGATAGACCGGCTAAGACGATATACCACAGCAACATCTCAGCAAAGCAGTGTTTACAATATGGTCAGCATTCTCGCAATCAAAGGATTAGCGCACACAAAGCTCAATTCGTAAAACTCTTGCCAAAATTCAAAATCACTAGCCCGTCGAGACTGTATCCTTTCTTTGCACGTCTTGTGAACTTGTCCTGATCTCTCTCACGTCCATCCCAAAGAACTGTCTCCCAGATTTGTGCACCACGCTTTGCTTCCTCTGTCGGGTATAAATATCGGCGTGGGCGTGTATTTGGTGGTCAACTGAGGCTAGAGAAGGTCGACGAGAGGTGTGGTCGTTGGAATGAGGATGTAATAGGTCGTACTTGTAGACTTGATGAGACTTAGGCAGGAGTTTATCTCGTTGGGATTGAAAATTTGACATGGTGGATTATTTTGAATCATCGTTTGTGGGCCAAGTTCGGTATCGCGAAGTTTGAGTGAACTTGGCTCTGGGAGAATATTTTGCTCCCAGTATCGTAGAAGACACCACATACAGGTGTTCATTCTTGCCCTTCGATGGACCTTATTAGTTACACGCTAATTAACAGTACCTAGCTGGCCGGCCTCATCGCATAACTTGGGGGGTCTGGCATCATGACCCTTAATCTGATTTTTGATATGGGATGGTGCCACATTAAATAGCTGTGTAATATTTTTCAGATGTGATACCATTAGACGGCTATTATTTCGATGACTGGCAAGGTATATTGATGATAGGTTTGATAATCCTTGTTTGTGTTGTCTAAACTTGACCTGTGAGGGATAGTATTTTTGGATTGAGGCTGCAGTAGGTATGGGCGTAGATGAACATTTGCTCTTCGTCGACATAAGATAAGAAATTTTATTATAGTCCGTTCTGAGTCTAAGACTATGAAGGACTTCTAGAATCTACCAACTAAATTCTGGCTACTATTTCAATGTTAAAATGAGGCTATTTGATGTTTTCCAATAGATGTTGAGGGCCATGCCCTGTTCATCTACATAAACAAGGCGAATTTTGTGAAATTTACTTACCGCCTGTCAGTGGTATTCTCTACGAACCCCCAGCTATCACTGTAATGTCTGCAGAGCTGAGTATGAGAAACACCTTCCTTATCACTTAGATGAGGATTCCCAATCTTTTTTGCGGTCTGTTTCCTCCTCATTTATCTGCACATTCTCTTTAGCTCCACTTTAATTTAGCTAAATACTATCAGACCAGATGGTAGAGTCGAAGCCCTACTCATCAGCCACTCTTTTGAATCAGGCAGAAGTCATCCGATAAGCTTCTGGAGCTTACCCAGCATGCAATACGGCGATGGCGGATTGGATCAAGTTCACCTTAATGCAACAAAGAATGGAGATATAGATGGATATGCGCGCCTCGTGTGGCTAGACCTCGCCTAGTTGGGGCTGCGGGTTTTTTGAGACTTTTTCCCGCGCACACAGTTTCCATTGCTACCTTTTTTTTTGGTGTGGGGGGGGGGGGATAGAAGGTTCCGTGGAAAAGGTGGCTGGATTCCACGGCTAAATACTGAGCTGAATGGCTGTTCATTGTGGGCAATATATCAATGATCTTTCAGAAAGCAAAAGGGGATAGTAGCACTGCACAAGGTGTGGCCTGGGTTAGAGAGGAGCCAAATGTACCCGATACTCGTAGAATAAAGTATCACAATATAAAACTAAATAAACACCATCCATCATTTCCGCCTTTGAACAAATAGACAATCGCGTTCGAACGTCACAAAACCCTTGACAGGCCAGGCGCTACATTTTAGCACCGCGTGACTTCTTCCCATCCTCCTGGGTATTGAAGGACACTGCATACTTAATGAAAAGACAAGCCTTCCTAGCTGGTGATAGGGTATATTTTAGCTTTGCATACACCACATGCAAGCTCAGAGGTTAGAAAAGGGTAATCATTACATTTGCTGAGTCCTCTTTACACTGTATCATGCCAGTAAGGTGGCGAGTTACCAGCTCTCTCAATTTCAAGTCTGCTAGAACTCCTTTTGTCAACCAGTCGACCATTATTGGGATTAAAACTAAAATTCACATGGACAATCGGAGAATTTACCCCGGATCCAATCTGGTGGGACCTTTTACATCCAACCCATGTATGACATTTGCCGAAGATTTTAGTTCCATTAATGACCTTCCAACTAAAGACTGCCAGCTAAAATTCATCTAGTGATTGAGTAAGTTTATTACACTGCAAGTGTCATAGACTATGTAGCACATTCGGCTCCTCTCTAACCCAGGCCACACCTTGTGCAGTGCTACTATCCCCTTTTGCTTTCTGAAAGATCATTGATATATTGCCCACAATGAACAGCCATTCAGCTCAGTATTTAGCCGTGGAATCCAGCCACCTTTTCCACGGAACCTTCTATCCCCCCCCCCACACCAAAAAAAAAGGTAGCAATGGAAACTGTGTGCGCGGGAAAAAGTCTCAAAAAACCCGCAGCCCCAACTAGGCGAGGTCTAGCCACACGAGGCGCGCATATCCATCTATATCTCCATTCTTTGTTGCATTAAGGTGAACTTGATCCAATCCGCCATCGCCGTATTGCATGCTGGGTAAGCTCCAGAAGCTTATCGGATGACTTCTGCCTGATTCAAAAGAGTGGCTGATGAGTAGGGCTTCGACTCTACCATCTGGTCTGATAGTATTTAGCTAAATTAAAGTGGAGCTAAAGAGAATGTGCAGATAAATGAGGAGGAAACAGACCGCAAAAAAGATTGGGAATCCTCATCTAAGTGATAAGGAAGGTGTTTCTCATACTCAGCTCTGCAGACATTACAGTGATAGCTGGGGGTTCGTAGAGAATACCACTGACAGGTGATGAGAAAAATTACCTCACCTACGTGTATAAATTCTACAATTGGTCAGAGTTTAGAAAATACTTAATATTATTCTTAAACATCAGTTTCAACGTAATGTTAACCGTGATGATGATGCACAGCAATACTCATAATCTATGCCTTAGGCTTAAGACTGTAGCTATGAATTCGTACCCCTTGTTGAATGTATCGACAGGCATTATCGTACAATGCACCTTTCACTCGCATCCTTCTACCAAATTCCACTAAATGGTGTCAGTCGAATTGTGACACTCCAATCTCCAATGGTGTAATCGAGACGATTTTAACACGCTATCTACACCTGCAAGACTTGTTTACCTTTGTCAGTTGATACGCCCATGTGTCTTTGAACAAAACCAGGCAGGAGCTACATTAAATATTCAAATAGACCTATTCAACCATTACCCATCAAGCTTGAGTTCCAAGAATTAAATTATTTGCCATTTTATCTTAATATACTATATTTACTTAGTTTTTCTCGCAAGTTTTCATTTTTTCGACAGGCTTATCATCAGATGAACACGATAAATCCATCTTCAGAGTTTAATACGTCTCAAAGATTTATAGCAAATACAATTAAGGTTGGATCATCAGCTCTTCACGCTTTAAGACTACTGACAGCTTCCTACAGTTTCCAAACATCGATTCATAGTATTACCTAAATGCCAATATACTCTAATATTGCCTCGACACTTGCTCGTCAGGGCCCTAAAACTTTCAGCTATGGATACGCCCAATCCTTAGTTGCGGCGACGCATCCGCAAGTATTTGCGTCCCAAAATAGGCCTGGATTCGGGCTTTATCGAACGAATAAAGTTGGTACCCTTCCAACATATCATTTCCAGAATGCATTTAAAAATAGCGCACAATCTTCTAGCAATGTAAAGGTGCGCAGCAATAAAGGGGATGCCGGTCTTGATGCATACTATGAAGCCTGGAGGAAGTCACACATAGCTGGCGAGCCTGAAAAAGAATGGACTCAATTTCAATTTTCGAAGCGCATCGAGTGGAACCCAAATAGCAAAGATGACGATCTTGACACTCAAAATTGTGAAGTTTTCATTCCTTCGGCACTACCTAAGACTGAGAGATCATACAGCATGAGTGCCATAGATGATTACCATACTCACAAATATTCTGCAAGTGAAGTCGTAGCTCTAGCTGAAATTGATGCTGCTCTAGAGAAAGAAATAAAAGATCGTAATGAACAGGCATTAGAAGAAGTCAAGCCCAGTGGGAATATAGATCAAGGTACTACTTTATACTTAAACAATTCTTCGGGCACATCGTATCATCAAGATGGCCACGAGAAACTAGATTTATCGAGTCACGAGTCTGTCACCGTCTCACTATCCGAGACACATGCCGATTATCTCTCACATCTTTCTAGGGAGCAACGATATTCAGAGATACCCGCCGAATTTGAATCTTTATTGATCGCTGGTATCCAACCTACAGCCCCTGCGTATAACGCACTACTAGAAGCGGCTATTCATCTTTCAGTCGAGAGGATTCATGTTGTTCCCAAAGCGCTTGATATCTACTCAGATATGCTCAAGCGAAAGGTATCGCCGGATAATGCGACATATGATATTCTGCTCAAACTATTATGCACTAGATATCTAGAGGTATCCTCGTCAAAAGAAGTATTGGAGGGAAAAAGATTACGATTTGGAGGTATAGACGAACAAGGTAAGTTTATGTTTGTCTCAAGTGAACTAGAATATGCCATACTGGATGAAGAGGATAGAATTGACCTGATTATCCGAATTTATGAGGCATCTACCTTATGTCACAGAGAATATTCATACTCTTCACATACATATCACAAACTAATTGCAGCTTGCTCTATCGCCGGTCGCGTACCTCAAATGAACAAAATTATCGAAAGAATGAAGAATGAAAATGTAATGCCACTAGCAGCCACTTTCCCCTTTATGATCAGCGGCTTCTCAAATCTTGGCGACCTCAGCAACGCTGTAAAATGCTACAACATGTACAAGAATATGGCTATCGATCACGATAAAGGTCTCATCAATTTACCTAATCGTGAAGACGGAGTAATTTACGCATCATTAGTAAAGGCATATGTAAAATCTGATCGTTTGGAGGGTGCTTTAAAATTTTACGAAAAAATAAGAAGATCCAATCCATCAAATGATGTTAGTCTTCCAGAACTGATTGTGTCAGAGGGTATTATCCGAGGACTTATTGAGTCTGGATCATTTTCTAAAGCTCTAAATTGGGCGGAAACACTCACGACTTCTTTGAGAGCTACGTCAATGTCTCGGATTGCAACCGCGGCTGCTGATGCTGGAGATAAAAATACCGCTTCAATAGCCTATTCACATATCGATAAATGCCTTTCTGATATTTCTCTACCTACTATGGCTTTACTCGCATTGTATATACGCGACGGCGATATAATAACTGCACTTCACTACTGGCACATCCTTACCAACTTAAACTTAAGTATAGACTCATCTTACATAGAGCCAACTGCAATGTTTGCCGTTGCTATGATCGGCTCTGGTCGAGTCCTCGAAGGACTCTCAGCAGCACAAGAAATGTTTGCTCGTATTAAGACTTTTTCTATAGATAGGTCAGGCCACCTTAGTGACGAGGTAAGCGAAGGCATAGACTTCGTCCACCAATTCATGTCTGCTCGTGGCATACTAGATCCTTCACTTGGATTATCGGAGCTGTGCGAATACAAAAAAACTAGTCGTGAATTTTATCACGTAGTATCCAGTCAGCAGGAACTTATTGATCCATACTCTGCTTCCACAGATTTTAAAGGATCAGCAATTATCTCCGACGAGCTTAAAAGAATTAACGGGCGTGGAAAATATTCAGGATTTAACGATTCACTTCGTCGACTCCAGAACATGCGGCATGCAGGACGACATCCGCGATATATCGTGTACGCCAAGCTTATTGCTGCTGCTGCCCGCGAAAAAGGGATGGATGTAGCACATCAAATATTAGATATGGCCCGTGCTGACATACCAATATTGTACCAGTATCCAATGGTTCGGTATGGCTGGGTATCAATTTTAGATGCTATGGTTGGTGCATGTCTCACTCTCGGCAACAGAGGACTTGCAGAACAGTTTCACGATGAGCTTTTGTCGATTGGAGCCTCACCCACGGCTAATACATTCGGACTCTATATTACAACACTAAAAAACTCTGCTAAAACATTGGACGAAGCAGCTGACGCTATCAACATTTTCAATCGTGCAAAGAGTGAAGGAGTGCAGCCTTCGTCATTTTTGTACAATGCTCTCATCGGCAAACTGGGAAAAGCGCGGCGAATTGACGATTGCCTTTACTACTTTTCTGAAATGCGTGAACTCGGCATCCATCCCACAAGTGTCACATACGGAACAATTGTTAACGCTTTATGTCGTGTCAGTGATCAAAAGAATGCCGAAAAACTTTTTGAAGAGATGGAATCTATGCCAAATTATAAGGCTCGTCCGGCTCCCTACAACAGTCTAATGCAGTTCTTTCTAACCACAAAACGTGAAAAAAGTCGGGTTCTCTATTACTATGAGCGAATGAAAAGTAGGGGGATCAAACCGACAAATCACACATACAAACTTTTAGTTGATACTCATGCAACTCTTGAGCCTATAAACATTCCTGCTGCCGAGGCTGTCCTTGATGTCATTCGGAGCACTGGTCAGCAACCAGAAGCTATTCATTACTCATCACTTATTCACGCTAAAGGATGTGTCGTTCATGATCTCGATGGTGCAAAAGATATATTTGACTCTGTGATGTCTGACCCCTCCATCACCCCTCAGGCATGTCTTTATCAATCTCTTTTCGAGGCCATGGTTGCCAGTGAATGTGTTCATGAAACTGAGCAAATACTTCTTGAAATGCCTAACCAAAATGTTGAAATTACACCATATATCGCTAACACTCTGATTCACGGCTGGGCAAATGAAAGGAACATTGAGAAAGCAAAACAGATCTTTGAAATGATAGAGCGCGAAAAAAGAGAGCCCAGCACCTACGAAGCTATGACCCGAGCCTACCTTGATGTCCAGGATCGTCCTAGCGCTATAAAAGTTGTTCAAGAAATGCAGAGTAGACATTATCCCTATGCGGTTACCAGCAAAATATCAGAACTTCTGATGGGTAGTCATTCTGAAAACATTATTTAGGAGCTTCCATCTCAGAAAATCAATTACATTCTCTGTAAATATTAAGGTTTCAATATTCTACGCATCTTATTCTGATAATAAAAGTATGTTAAGGAGCGACATCAGCTTTTCATTTTACCCTGTATTCCGATTATAGCCTCATTAAACGAAAATTTTTGGAGTTACTTGATTTATGTCAACAAAATTTGGCGCTTGGGTTGTTGGCCGGCAGGAAAACTGTACTTTCAAATTTTTTTGGGACAAGCGACGGAGTTTTAAATATCTCTACTCATGGATAGGAAATGGGCGAAGTGGAAAATACAAAAAATGATGAAGAAACGGATTTTCAGGATCTAAGATTTGTATGAATGTAGTTCACGTCATGTTAAGGATAGGTTATTAGAACTGATCTTAAAATTTTCGAAGCTACTAGAGAACAAACTTACGAAAAATCCACGGAAGTTATTACACAGTCTCTATCCAACGTGAAGAAATGTGTAAGTCTAACTTCGTGATGCCTATCGTAAGATCCTAAACAAAATACCTCCATGGCAGAACACAACTGTCTAGGGTTAACATTTCACCTACTCATGTAAACCAAGCTAGACAGGTCACATGATCTTCATAGCAGTACATAGATTTCATCTGTAGCCGAATGACTATTCAGTCAACATTTACAACGCTTTACCGTGTCCCATGTATCTTTCTTAAGAAGTTATGAGCCCGGCGTTTCCAGTGAAATAATGATTTATTATTCCGTTGTTCTTCTGTTTACGACTCTGCTCACAAATCAGTTTCTAGTACTACGGTGTAATTGTTTTGATTCTACATCTGCGCCTCTACCTTTCAGTATTTTATCGAACAAGGTATCTCTGACCCGCTACTGATATATTTTGAATCTTTCATTCCTCCTTGAAATGGCACAATCTAAACTTGGCGCCAACAACATGGCGCATCCTCTGGCCTTGAAACTGCACGGCATCGCTAACCTGAAAGACGGAATGCTCCTCATCGAATCGAGCTTGCGATAAAACGTACTCTCATATTGGATAGACCCAATGAAGACTGAAGCTATATATAAATCGAAAGGGAAACTGGCTTTAAAGATTGGTCCAGATCAAACGAGCTTGTCAAAACGACACGGGCTATCAAAGTCGATCTAGAATTCATTCAGAATATCATGGCTGAAAATTTAGCCTGCGACAGTTATAAAAAGATTCGTCGCTTTCTCTGAGGAAACAGCATTTTGCTGTTGAAACAAGTATCACCGACTTCCTCGATCTCTCAGAGAACTTCGAGAAGTATTCATCCTGTCAGGCTTATATTCTGGCTCACAAATTGATGGCCTCTAGTCTTCATTCTCTCGATTTACCTATTTCTTCTCCTGTATACTGTCTGGTGTTAATCTGTCCGGTTTCCATAAAATACCCTCAATGGGCATCCACCCAAAGATACTACTTCTCTGTCACAACTCCTGTCAATCCTGCTCCTACACCTGAGACTCTATATACAACACTCCAAGACCACACTAGATTGGCTAAGAGTATAGCGGCTATTCCAGTACCTGTCGAACAAGCTCATGTTACAGGTCCCAAGTTTCAGAGAAACAAGAAGTGGGATGGTCCCAACTGTCAATGGTGTAATGTTCTGCACGATGACACGAAATGCTACTTTAAACACCCAGAACAGCATGCCGAATATATTAAGAGATTTACTTGGGCCAATTATACCTATTGTAAAATTTGGATGATTTTATTTTCTCCTATATAAGCAGGTCTGTATATACATAACATTTAGACCCAGCTTCTATCATATCCTTCCAACTTACTATGCGCATTCTCAACTAGAATTGTTGAGATTCGTCTTATCTCCACCTGGCGCATACCACTTCCCAGTTGATAGTTGGCATTTCCAACTTCATTGTTACACAGCGAACTAAGAGGAACACTATGAGTAATTCTAATTACATCATGTACTAATTCAACTGATATTATGATATCACAATAATGCCGAAAATAGAAAGTGGCGTTCTGAGTTTCAAAAACGTCACCCGCCTAGCAAAATTTCCACTCATTACTCTGGCTTTGATGCCCGTTTTGAGAAATATGATCCATTTCGAAAGGATACCAACAACCGCGTTCAGCCAGCACTTTTCCCATCACAATCGTCCTCAAGTTGTACTGCTGCTAACTCATATTTCGTGGATTCTAATCCAAGTCCTTTCCAATAGGGTTGCGCGGGAGCATTGAGAACACCATTATATCTCACCAATAATTCTTTCGCGAAGAGTCAATGAAAGGCTACTGCAGTGTCCCCATCTCAGATAGAGCTACAACAACATAAATGTACCTTTCGCAACGAGGATCATCAACTGTGCTCGACCAGAACTGGAATTAATTCCGCATTTGCTGCAGCAGTCCCGGCTGCAAGTTTTCGTGATATCTGGCTCCATGATGATGGTGCCTCAGTTCATATCACCAATGATATAAATGCGTTCTTCCGTTATCGGCCAGTAGCTGGGTTGCCTATCGTTAAAATAGGGGGAAGTCCAGCTTAGCCTGTTGGGCTTAGCTACATCAAGCTTCGCGCTCTTCGCCAAGATCATTCAGTCAATAAATTTGTCCTTGAAAATGTTCTCTACATTCCTGGCTTTCCACAGAACATATATTCTGGGTGGCTTCATGATCTTCGAGATGGATGGGATAAACATCGGATAGTATATGAAACAGAGGTTTCTGAATTGTGCCAGCTTCTTCGTGGACAAAATTTTTTACACTTGCGCACCGCTTCTCTTCCGTATTTTCATAATACTAATGATCCGTCTATGCGATCTTCCACCTTTCTTCTCTCTCCAGTTGCTGATAATGTCTTTCCTGCAGCAATCCATAAAGCCCCTGTCACTCTCGAACTTTTTCATCGCAGTCTAGGACTCATTAGCTTTCCAAATTTTCAGCGAACGATAAGAACAACACTTGGTCTATCTTATGAATCTCGTAGCACGGATTCTTATCTTGGTGTAACCAGATTGTGCGATCCTTGCGAATTATCCAAGCTGAAGAAGGCTATACTCCGCTATCCGCGTAATCGAGAGTCGAAATGGGGTGATAGATTTTACGCAGATGTCTTCTTTTGCAATCATGTCGGTTATAATGGCCATACAGCTGGTATGATCGTCTCATACTCGTTTCTTTGGGAGGTGTGTCAATAAATTTTCTGCCGAAGACCATCCTGATGAAATACCTGAGCCCTCTTCTAAGTTTGTCGATGAGGTTGAAATCCTCTCACCTAATTCTCCTCGAATTGGAGGGGACTCAGATAATTCTAAAGAAAATGGCTTAGTAGGGGGTGCACATTTGGATGATGAATTACCTCCGCTCCTCGATGCAAGATGCGAAATGCCTGCTGAAGAAGATCCTTTATTTGCACCTCTCCCATAAGTGCCTGAGCGCGGCCGTGGTCGACCTCCCGGTGCCAATAATAAGCCCAAGTTAACGGCTGGACCTAATTCATTCGATCTCTCTAAGCCTGAATCAAATATCCGTATCACTCGCAGTAAAGCAAAAGGCTCAAATTCATAGCATACTTCGCAGGATGAGAATCCTATTCTGATGTTAGAATATTAGTTGTATCTATCGGCTCTCATTCCTTACAGCGATCCGAAGACCTTTCGTGAAGCTTTGCTGGGTCCCAGTGCTGCTCTTTGGGAAGCATCTATGAGGGAAGAATTGACTGCTCTCGAAATGAACGATACACCGCGGCTTTTACCTCGTTCTAGGCTTCCTTCAGGACGTGACATAATTCCAGAACGATGGGTTTGTAGGCGAAAGACTGTGAAAGATGAACAGCTGACCCGTTATAAATCCCGCTATGTTGCAAAGGGCTTTCATCAAAGGGAAGGCTTAGATTACTGTTACGGTTTGACCGTGGTTTAGCTTAGGTGGAGACCCAAGCGGAGTTTGGGGGCGTATGAGGGAGAGTGTTACATATTATCTTCTATCAAGCGACTAAGTTTCACTTGGCCACATTACATTGGAGCTAGGAAGGAATGTGAGACGGCGAAGTAGAATTGCCAAGTGAGAGAGTCAGCTAGATGGCAAAGATGACGACGGCCAGTGGCGGAGCAATATGTCATGTTAAAGATTTAATCTGTCAATAACTCTGAGCTTGATGATGACCAGCAAGACGAAGAATATTATGACCTGTCATTTAAGATAGAAGGGCGAAAAGGGCATTAATTAGAAGATAGGACTGATATAGTAAGGGGTGATTAGCCCAGAGTAGGTATGGGCATTATGAATGTAGTCGGAAGCATCATTATATTAAAGGAGTCAAGTGCGCGAGATATATATGCACGTGTCCTATCCCTGTCACTAATTACCAGACCCCGCACTGCCATAAACACCATCCATCTCTGCTATCCATCGCAATCCCGAGTATCAATATGAGTTACTGTTGTACGGCATGTTTGTACGGGTCGACATCAAGATAGAAATGTTAACATCTCATTCTCACCAACAGAGTACGTACTGGATGAGCTAGAAGGATGTACAAATAGTCATTGCCCGTAGTTGTGGTACTTCTCTCTTCACATAGTTTAATCTTTCTAAAAGTACACTACAACCAGCTTGGTTTCGTCACAATTACAAAGAAACCTTTGCCAGTATAGCATTCTCCAGCGTCTGGAAAGCTCATCTCACACTCTCCGCTTCTAACGACTGACAAGTTGAACAAATGGACGTGGTAACTGCCTTTCTCAACCCTGAAATCGACACTGATATACATATGGCATGTCCAGACTGGTTGCCTACTCCATATGAGTCCCCACTCAACCGCTGGGTGTGGAAACTTGAGTAGTCACTCTATGGTCTCAAGCAGTCTCCACACCTTTGGCAATGAAAACTTCGTTCTGAAGTTGCCCAATTTGGTTATAAGCCTTTACTTCTTGATTCTTCTGTTTATCATAGTGACTCTGATGAAACTTATCTTGTTACTCATTTAGATGAATTTCTACTCAATGACCC